CATAACACAGTTAGTATAACAACCTATTATATATAATAAACAACCATTCCTAGACAATAAAGTGACGATTTATAAGTAAATATAATGAGAACAAGTTCGCGCGAATTTACTTAAAGAACAGATAATAAAAGCATATCAGTGTTGAATAAACTCGTAAATTCGTATATTATGTAGTTGGGTATTTTACATTGGGTAAACAGAGGGTACGATTCGTTCTATATGGTTCTCTGAGCTGCCACCGAGCACGGCTAAATTCTGAACTGCGTATTAGTTATTTAATTTGTACTCATTCGACTGCATCTTCTGATGCGGTTCAGCTACTTCAGTCCCTGTGTAAGATGCTAGTAAGGAGGACCAATCACCAATAGGTAAACGAATCGTATTTTTATTGGGTAAACCGAGGGTACGATTTGTTCTAATTGGTTCTCTGAGCTGCCATCGAGCTCCGCTGAATTTTTAACTGCACATTAGCAGTCGATTGAGTCATTACTCATTCTACTGTGTCCTTTCATGCTGTTCTGCCAGTTTATTCCTTGTGTAGGGCTTCAGCAATTGGAACTTCTTGCCAGTAGGTAAATGAACCGTATTTGCTTCGGGTTACCCAACTGTACGGTTCGTTCTAATTGGTTCTTCTGGTTGCTGTCCAACATGGCGGAATCTTAAACTGCATTATAGCGATCAATCCAGCTATTACTCATTCGACTGCATCTTTTGATGCGGCTCAGCTACTCTAGTCCCTGTGTAAGGTGCTAGCAATGAGGACCGATCACCGATTGGTAAATCGGTCAGCTGTCTTCTCTAATGCTGCTCTGTGAGTTTAACCTTTGGGTAAGACCATAATAGTAAGAGCTACTGTGTGTATGTATGAAAGTATGTGTGTGTATATATCTGGGTGGGTTCATACATTTATGTGTGTCTACCGATATATATATGTATGGCTGTATCTATGTGTGTATATGTTTGTGTGCATATGTACATGTGTGTCTTTCTCCGTAGAACCCTCAAACAGTTGACACGACACCGACCAACAATAAAGAGGACATTATCCCTACACCATGCCTCAATATTAAAATAAACGACAGGACACCGAGCAACGAGGGAAGTAAAGAGGGATTTGTCTCCACACTATGCCCCGAAAGAAAAACTAGGGGGACAAGAAAAAGGCGCGGAAGTAACTTTCGCAGGGCTGCAAAGCAGCAACGAGAAAATAGGCTGTCGATTGCCACCTTCGTGAAAGACGAAGGGTCAGCATCGGGAATTGATGTTCTGTAAAATTAGGTTTTGAAATATAATAGTGCTCCAAGAATCTGTTTTTTAATGAATATGTTTTACTCGTTTCTTTAAATTTGTCTCTTCCAAACTCAGAACAACAATCATAAAACACCTGACAATTTTGTCAACCAATCGGCTTGCATTTAAGAATCACATAAAAATCTTCTTAAATTTTACTCAAAACGCATATTTTCTATTGTTTCCACTTTTCACCATTTTACCGCAACTTACGTCATACATGTGATGCACTTTAGTTTTTTAAATTGCACATGTTATGAATTCTCTTTTCTCGTTTAACAAAGCTATGGTAAGGTTAACTTTATCTTCTTTTGATTTATTATTACTTATTTTAATGAATAACAGCTCATAATTTTCGTAATTTATATTTTTTGTTTTGAAATTATTACTTAGTCATGTACTTAGCCTTATACTCAATTATACATGTTTGGCTTTGACTTAGTATTATCTACCTATTTACATAACATAAATTCTTGTAAGTACAATGACTTCATATTATTATGTTCGAGTACTGAGTAGGTTATTAGGTTTTATATATATATATTTTTTCCCCTTAAGGGTACATGTGTCGCGTTATATTTGTATGGGTCATCTCAGATTTTAGCTTTCGTCTAATTAATTCCCAACACTTTTGAAGTCTGTGGTTGAACGTTGAAAATAGTCTACCACGATTTGTACTTAAAAAAAAATTAGTTACCAACAATGAAATAGCAACCATTTTCGTGACGGCTTTTGATGTCTGTGCTTGAACGTCTGCATTCAAATTGAGGCTGGACAACACCGTTGAGGAAGTCAAAGCTCAAGCACCTGTTGCAATGGAGGTCGAGGAGGTGGAGGCTGCAATGCCGATGGAGGTCGAGCCTCGACAAGCACCAGAGGCTCAAGTGCAAGAACCAGTGGTTGGGCCAGCTCGCTTTCATAATGTTGTTGAAGTCCGGAACTACACCAGATATGAAATGGAAGGCTCCCCAACTATCTGGTTCGACGAGTTCCAAAAAGTGTATGTGCTGTCGACGGATGGCACAGACGCTCGACCAACGACTTATCTAAAGTGCCATCGCTACACGGTGAAAAGAGGTAATTTTTAATTGTTTAATAGGATACCTTTTTTAACTCGTGAAAATATTCACGATCTTAGAATTATTATCATTACCATTATCATGATTGTATCTTAACATTTAACGGGATCCCCAATAAACCCTGTTAGGTTCATGTGGTGGTACTGCAAGGATTAAGGACGATACCCTGTACCTGGGGAAGGATCACTCATGTGGCGACATGAGTGATGAGTACCTTATTTTGCAGGCCAAGACAAATGGATGAAATTTCGAGCTGGTAATATTTGTTTTTGAATTTTTTTATTAAGCCATATTTCGACTGAAAACATATGTCTGCCAATGTGAATAATCGAATTTTAACATTTTTAACTTAATTAAAATCTTTAATTCAAAATTCATTTTATTCTAGGGCAATCTACCGAACCGCTAAGGGACATTTGGAACTCTGTCCTTAGCCAGTCGACTGAGGCCGTGAAGAAAAACCTCAAGTTCGAGGCTGCCGAGTCCATCATAAGGAATAAGCGGAGGAAGAACCTGCCTCCGATTCCCAAGAATCTGGCAGAAATGAAGGAAGCTCTCGACAATGGACATCCGTTCGAAGACATCTACCAAGGTTTCGTCGAATTCGAAGATGGGAAGGTCGGATTCATTTTTGCAGACCCAAAACTTCTCGCTCTCGTTGAAAGTGAGTACACTGCTTTAATTTGCGAGTTGTTTTGATACTATGTTCTATCAAATTTATCATTTTGGGTAATTTTAAATTGTTTTAAAGGGGTTAGATACAACAACTTTTATCTTTGTACAATTACTTTTAAGAAAATTTATAATTTTGGGTATTTGTTTCAGAGACTCAAAAACTCTTTGTCGATGCCACCTTTAAAACACGGCCTCACCACGATATCTTTTCTCAACTGTTGAACATCATTGTCATCTACAAAGATTACTCTGTCGCGGTGATGCATGTCTTAATGACATGCAAGGAGCAAGCACTCTACGGCCAGATCATGGAGCGGTTCAAAGCTTTGGTTGGATCGGACTTCAAGCCAAAAAGTGTGATGTCGGACTACGAACAGGCGATCCTGAACACCATGCAAACTGCCTTTCCAGAATCGAGAGTGTCTGGATGCAGATTTCACTTCAGCCAAGCAGGTAAATAATATTTTAACCATTTAATTGATTTTTAACACGTTATTTATCTTTGTTATTTACTTCTTTTTAGTTCTCCGGAAAGTGTGTGCTCGCAACAAGGAGGATTTCTATAAAAATGTTGAGTTTAGGAATCTGATGCTCAAACACATGGCCCTAAGCAATCTACCGGCGAACCAAATGGTACCGGTATTCCAACAGCTAAAGCAAGAAGTGCTCCACTTACAACCACTCAGGCTCCGGAAGCAAGTCCAGATAATGCACAGGAATTACTTCTTAAAGTGGTGGTTCCAAGGCATCGGGCCCCAGCTGATCTCTACGTACGGTCTTGCACATAAGACCAACAACGTCTGCGAAAGTCTCCATAAGAAGTGAGTTATTTCTTAACAATATTTTTGTTAACAATGTGAAAATATTCACGATCTGGTTATTTTTGTTGTTCATTATTTATAACTTTTCCCAAATTTTTCAGAATGTCTTTGAATCTGGCAAAGGCGTCGACAATCTGGAGATTCCTCTCAGATCTGAGGATGTTCGTCATCGAGCCAGCAAAGATCGATGTCCTACAGTTGGACAACAACATCAGGATCCGGAGGAACATCAAATTATCGAACCAGGTAGCGGCCAGAACTGTGAAGAATCAGGAGGAGCGACTGGCCAATGGGGAAATCACCCCCATTCAACACCTCCATTTTATGGCCCACAGAGTGCCCACTCCGGTTCTTCCGAATGACCCAGATCAGGATGAGGCCGATGCAGAGCTGGCAGCAGAAATGACCGCCAATTATCATCATCTTGTAACTCGCATCAGATGCAAGTTACATAATGCATTCCACGTACTTTGAGCGCTAAAAAATGCTTAAAAGGCGTATTAGTAAATCGTAAATTAAAAAAAATAATAATCTTTGACATTCTCTAACTTTAATAATTCTCTATTCTTAAAAATAATAATCTTTGACATTCTCTAAGCTTTTAAGTGAAATAAATGGAAATTTGTTTTACAACAAATTCTGCTTGTGTCTTAAAAAAATTACATTAAGTTTTTTTTTTTTTTTTTAATAAAAAACAATTTAAAATTTCCTTAATCTGAGCTTGATTACAGATCAAATAAGCTAAAACTTTTTCAAAATAATTAAACCCATAAATTTCTTAAAAACATGTTTTTTCTTTACTCAATATTTTAATTTTATCTTACTTAGAGACAATTACAGCCTCGCTATACTTGATTTAATTATATTATATTACTGATGTATTTTTAATTTGGTTTTAATTTAGGCTTAGAAAAAAAAAAAAAGGAAAAAAGTTTTGACTTTTAACAATAATCTTCTACAAAAGAGTTCTTTGGATGTAAGATAGGTGATACTATATTACGTCAAGTAAGGACATTTAAGCAACTCAGGTATTCATAATAGCAATTATAAACAAATGTTTGTTAAAAAATGGTGAAAAATGGACTATAGGTACTATTACAATAGAAATTAAATTCGTTTATAAATAAAGCTGTGATTGCTTAATTTTTTATTAAAAAAAAACAAATGTTACAAATTCAAACAAACAGAAATCTAGTCAGGTATACTTTGTAGGAGTATATTTCAAATTTATAAAAAAAAAACATATTAATGCTAACTTATGCAAAACACGTTAAATGAGATTAGAAGATAATAAACAGCAACAATATATATGTATATATATATATATATCTCAACCTAATTTGACTAAGAAGCCTATAATTTTTACACATATACCCGTGAGAGTTTAGCCATAACGCCGCACTTAATTATTTACTTTATCAAGACGCCCATGCAGCTAGTTCAGCCATGTCTTCATCGATGTCTTCTTGTTTCGATTTTGATTTCGCTACAAAGAAATTAAAAACAAAAAAAAAATATCAAAAATATTAAACAGTCAATATCAATACTATTTTTTAAAGTAAACAAAAAAATTACTAGGTTTGGGAAGATCTGTTGTCGGAACATTTGGTAAATTGACCCCCTTTGAAGGGCCAACATCTAGAAGTTGTTCTTCCAGGAGTTCTTGCTCAAGTTCTTCAAGCTCTCCCATAAGCTCATCCTAATTACGACAACAAAACAACAGACGATTTAACTTAAGTTTTATCAACTTGGTTCGCAGAAGTAAATAAATAATATAAAATAAAAAATATAACAAGTTTTATAAATAATGTATAATTATTTAGAATAAAAATATAACCTCATCAATGTCTTGATCGAAACCTGATGTAGAAAATACATCAGATATCTCATTAGCAAGTCGAGTTTGTTCTGATATCTCATCCATTAAATCATGAACATCGTCGACATCTCTTAATAAAAACAAAAAAAAACAACAACATAAAAAACCTTAGGAGAACCAAGCTTAATATAAGTTATGTTTAATTTACCTACATTTAACTTTTCTAAATGTTTTTTTCTTTTTTTTTATATATATTTCTGTATCTTAAAAATAAACTCCTGCCCAGAAAAATACTTATAATAATAATTCAATAGATTCAAGACTTTTATGCGTGTTTAATAATTCTTAATCATACGATGAATGTCTAAAATTTTAGAGCAAAGTTAGTTGAATTTAAATTATCTGACAAAACAAATTCATACTTTTATAGTAATTGGTAAATCATTCATGTTCCATAACAGATCCTTTATTTATTATATTAATGCAACAATATCAAATTTTTATCACAACTGTTTAGATGTTTTTACAACTGTTTTTATCAAACCATTTAGATGCCATAAACGTCTGATAAATGACTTTTAAATATCTGATAAACTGCATTTAGATGTTTTTATTAACACTTTTATAGATTTTTTTTGATCTAAAAACTTCTTTAAGCAACAATGAAAGGTAGTCTTCTCAGGATGGTAACATAGTGTTAAAAGAACCAAATTAGATCCCACAACTTTTAAGAAGCTGACCATTATCAGTGTTTATTATTCTCTGATGATGCATAAAATAAACCTGATGTTGTTAACTGACGAGGAAAGAGAACAAATAGTCAAAGAAATAAAGGAGGAGCAGGGAAGAGAAGAAAAGGCAAAGATAGTAAAAATACACCAAAAACCATGAGCAAAAAAACAACTTTTGACATTATCCAGTCAAAAAAGAGAAGACAAGAGCAGCACGGCTTAGTTCCAAAGAAATGCAGACTGGTAAAAGTATCTATAGGGTCCAAAGATTTGTTTTTGCCTTGATGTTTGTTAGATTTAACAGTTAAGATATAAGCAACAATATAATTAAAATTAATTAAGTGCAACATTAAAATTAAATTTTTTTTGCCAATTAAATTTACTTTTTGACTGTTTGTTCTTTATTTTGATAAGATTGACCAAGGTACAACTAAAAATAGTAATAATATTTCATTTAACAAGTACTATTATTATAAGTATTATTACAAGTAATATTTTTGTATTTTAGTATTGCAATAAAACTATTTCGAAAAAAAAAAGTTAGTTGAATTTAAATTATCTGACAAAACAAATTCATACTTTTATAGTAAAACTATTTCGAAAAAAAGTTTACAAAAAAAAAAAAGAGAAAATTTTACAACAAAGGGAAAAAATTCTTAAAAATTATTTACTTGTCATTATTTCTTGAACTGCACTGTAGTTACCCAAAAAATTTGAGAATTTTTTGCCAACATTTTTTTCATATCTAAATGCTGGTCCCTAAGAGCCACCAACACTAAGATCTAAACTTAAAACTGAGATCCAAACATAAAAATTCTGATTAGTCTAACAAAGAGAAAATAAGTCTGGTGGGAAATATTTGCAAAAGCTAAGACTTAATGGAAGCTGATGAAAGATTCCGAAAAGATAGCAATTAGGCGGTGATAACAGTTTTTTATGTTTAATATTTTTAGGTACTTAAGTTATGTTTTAAGTTATTAGAGAACTTGATTATAGTGCTATTTGATCATAGTGTTACTTGATCATGCATGGCACCCAAAGAGTCAACGAGGAAATAAAAGTAATGAGGTATGCAGTAGCCTCAATGTGGCTAATTAATTAACTTAATTAACTTAATTAATTAACTAATTAACTTAAATATGTAAAAAAGTGCTCTTTATATGACCTGAACTTGTCATGCCAAAAGCAATAAAAGGAACACTATGACATTGTTAACACTGTTATTTTTAAGCTGTTAATGGAATCAGAGTCACTAAGAGCTTTTACAGAGTTTAAGATTTTGACAGTGGCGTAAAAGTAAATCTGTGAAATTTCCAGTGGTGTAGATGTTGTTAAGATATATACAATAAACGGTAAATGTCTAAAAAATGTAAACTGTTGCCACACTAGTAAATGCAAAATCTTTGCCAGAACTTTGTTACAATTTTTTTCAAACATTTGTACAGGAAATCTAACAAAAGCATCGACTTGCTCACAAAAGTTTTTAATTTTTTTAAATTCTGTAAACATCAAACAATATAAAGTTGTTATATTGTTTGATGCTAACATAATGTAGTTTTTAAAAAGAATTTTTTTAAATAAAATTTTAATTAGTAGATTAATTTAATATATTTAAAGGCAAATAATTACAGTATATTATACATAAATATTTATTTAAATTTCTCTAAATTAACTTTTTGATGAGATTTAATTATGCATGTAAACATGTAATAAACATTAATCTTAATAAGAACAGATAAATTAAACAAGAAAATATCAGTAAAGATACAAAAATTATAAGTAAAATAAAAAACATACAAACGTTGATGAGCAGATTTTAACGCTTTAGCAGCAAAGCCCATACTTTTCAGCACTTCTGTATTTGTATTACTGCTTTCTAAAGCTTCTACTTGAAACTCTATCGTAGATAAAGCTCCATCATTTTGTTGTAACTGCTTTTCCAGTCGTTTCTTTTTTTTAAGAGCATTTAAGGCAACTAATAAATAACATTAATTCAAAATTTATTTTATTCATATTATAAATTTCAAGTTAGATATATTAAATTTTGCATAACTAATATTTATTGATTATTATTTGATTTTAATGAAGTGAAACAATTGTTCTTGCTTTCAAGGGACTATGGAAAAGTCAGAGACAAAAGATTGAGTTAATCTGTGCTCAACTAACCAGGAACTAACTGTATTTGAGTATATTCATTATATTTAATAGATGAATAACTATTTAACTATTAAACATAGAAACCAGGTCGGCAATTTTTTGTCAACCTCAAACACTTCTAGGTCGGCAGTCAGGTCAGAATTGCCGAATACCGAGGGCTAATTCTGAGGGCTGTATAATATATATATATATATATATATATATATATATATATATATATATATATATATTTGACAACTAAAAACCACTTTCATCCATATTGAAAACGCACATCGAATCATTTAAATATTGAATGTTTTCTCCTAAAAGCTTTGGAATTTCAGTAAACCAATTTCTTTTTGCCTTTTCAGTTACTTCTCCTCTAGCTCGATTTAAGTATTCACCTTGTTTTTGAGCTGTTTATGACGGTAAAGAAATGCATAAAACCAACTTTTTGCAAGACGGTTGTTAGTAAATTGTGATTTTATATTGTTAGAATTCAAATATTTTTGCACAGTATCTTATAGCTGTACTACAAACATTGCAAATCCCTTTCTGTTAGTAACCACTTAACTAACTTTTTTTTCAATTTGTTCACCAAGAACCGATTCATACCCGCAGTGTTGCATCTTCAAAGAAGTTCTTCCAAATATTATATCACGAAGCGTCTGATAAAGAATTCCAAACTTCTTGCTCGCTTTGTACACAGCCATGCATTTTTAACAGCATTTATAGCATTACGTAATTGACTATCATTATATTGAAGTCTTTGTTTTGAGCAACAATATTTTATTTTATATTTTTGTCTTGCCATTGTGAATGAATCTAAGTAAAATAATATTTTCTTAATAAATTATTTTTATAGTAAAAAAGAAACAAAATTGATTATTCATTGGACATACGATATGTATGGAATGACATTTTTTTTAGTTCATACTTATCGTACATTCAAAAATACTACATTGATACTACAATGATGAGTTGTTTTAATAATATTAATGATGATTCACGTTTTATTTACCTGATTAAGTCAATTTGGAAATAAAATTTGATGTTATCTTCTTAAATTTCCTTGTTTTATTTGAAACGTTTCTAACAGCTGGTACTTATTGATACACAAAATATATATATAAAAAAAATTACTAATTTTTGCAAAATTTATGTTAGTATGTAAAACCTACAATAAGTGTTGACTTACGGTAGGTTTGGAAACGACCCTACCTCTATAAATATAAAAAAAATATATAATTCATTAAAGTTTTTATAAAAACATATTAGCAGTGATTTGTTACTTTATTTAAATGTAAAAATATAAAAAACGTAAGTAAAGTTGTTTAATTCAAACAGCTTTCAAAAAAGTTTGTCTTTTTTTTTTCCTCTCAAAACTTTAATGATTCTAATATGTTTATTAAAGAGATCTTCGCTGTTTAAAGTCATTACTTATAAAATTTAATTTTTATTTTTACTTTATTTTTACTTATAAAAAAAATGTTATATAATTAAATAATATAAATAAAAAACTATACAAATATCAATGATACTGTAATTAAAATATTTAGCTACTTTATTTAAAAGCATTTTGCTAATATAAAAACATTAATAAAGATAAACATGTCGAAGTTATTTATTTTCAATGTAATTAAAAACCAATTATTTCAGCACATTTGTTAAAAACCGTAGTTAAATCATCAAAACAAAATATTATTTGTGTGGTCATATATAGACTTGAAATCGCAGGCCTTCCTGGCCAAGCCTGACTATATATATATATATATATATATATATATATATATATATATATATATATATATATATATATATATATATATATATATATATATATATATATATACACAGTGGTGGCCAAATTATTAGACTAAATGCAATTTTTGATACATTTGTGAAATTTATTTATAGCACAAAATTTTTACTTCAAAACATTACAAAAAATTAGAAAAGTTAAGAAGCACGATATTTTATTGTAAAAAAGCACAAAATTGAAGTATAAAAACAATTAAATACAATGCAAAATTAGGACTTGATATTCAAATACCAAGATGAATTAAAATTCACATTAATAAGACTAAGGTAAAATTACAATAAAAACGCAAAAAGTAACAATAGAAAATGAAATAAAATACAATGGCAATGAAAGTTCGAATAGTTGAAACATATCAGTTAATATTTTGTATGGTTTCCCTAATTTTTAAGCAGTGCCTGGACAATTGAAGGTATCCCATGAATAAGTTTCGGGCAAAGCTTACGGATTTCTTTGTCATGATGCAAAACATTGATCAAACCTTCGGTCAGTTCCATCTTGTTTTTTCTACCTAACTTATATACTGCTAACTCATGGGTCTGACTTCTTACTTTTCCCCAGAATAAGTTGAATTAGAGTAAGAGTTTTTTTGCAAAAAAATTTTACTTTAACTCAACTCTTGAATCTAATGGCCATACTCTTCCTGCAAGTTAAACAGATTAACCTATTTTTAAACATTTAAATCACTATGGCTTCTAATGCAAAAGTTAATTCTCAATTGAACACTTCTACAGTTTGTGCTCCTGACAAGATTATCATCATCGTCTTAAAAAAGTGTTCTCCTAAACTCTCTTCAATTTTTGATAAACTTTTAAAAAGTGCTAAACAAGCAGTTCCAATTTTTTAAATCTCTAGAAAACACTTTAACCTTACTAACTATCCTAGGATTAGTCTTCACTCTGTTATTAGTTTCTTTTTATAAATGTTTTGAGATTATTAAACTATTTTTTACTAACTCCACTTTATTTCAAGTAACTTTAAGGGTACCACAAAGTTCTATCTTTGCTCCTGTAATGTTTCTTATCTACAATAACAATCTTCATGAAAATTTTACATCTAAAGTACCTCTCTTAGCTAAGGACTCAACTTTATACTCTTATCTCGAAATCTTCACTTTTTGATTGCTTAGAACAAACCCCGTCATTAATCTGATCTCTCTTCTGTAACAGCCTAAGGCTTGCAGTGGCTTGTGGATTTAAATTATTTAAGGTATTAAAACTTATTTATTTACCTCAAAAAAAAATTGCAATATTGTTGGCATTCCTATACTGACAAATAACAACCCTCTTACTCTCAGACAAAGTCTAAAAGCATATTGTAAATGTAGTTAGACCTGCTTTATCTGCCAAGCTATAGATAGTTAAAATGGTTTATTTGGAAAAATATTTGTTTGGCACTATAAACCTACAACCTAGATATTCGAAGTTTGGAAATTTACTATTATCAACTGAAACTAATTGTACACCCTATAAAAGATTATTCAGTTTCCATAGGTGTTGAACATGTTGAACTTTGCTACTCTTATGATTAACTTTTTAAATTTTTTTTTGAAAAATTTTATGCAAAAATTAGACAAATAAAAACTTTACAGCCAATAGTTTTACTTTATTTTGTTGAAAAAATCAAACTATAGGATGTAAAGCCAATATATGCTAATATTTGGTACCTAGAAAAATATATGCTAATATTTGGTAACAAGAGTTGACTGTTTCACTTCAAGATCATGCATCATATTCTGTTACACAAGAGAAGTCTTATATTATTGATGAAAACTTATATAACAAAAAATATAATTACAGAAATACTAGATGTAAATAACAATGAGCCATCTACTGACGTTTTGTGATGCTTTACAATAGTTTGCAAACTTTCTGGAAAATATAATGATTTTATTTTTGATATTTAGATTAGGATAGTTGTGACTTACCTTGTTTAGATTGTTTTTGAACTATTTGTGTTATATAAATTTATCAACTCTTGTATTTTTAGCTTAGCATAATATTGTTCAAAAAGCTTTTATCAAGTAGTCTTTTCTTTTATGAAATGTTGAGCAGTTGAAAAGACAACAAACTTATTATTCAACTGATTTTCTAATAGTTTATTGATTAAATGGTAGGTATGTATTACCTCCTCATGTCATGTCATGGTATATATTACCTCCTCATGTCATGTCATGGTATGTATTACCTCCTCATTAGATTTCAGAAAAAATAACTTGGTGGTTTAAATTTATTTCCTGGTATTTTTAAGGTATCTTTATTTCAAAACTATTTTTTTTTTTTAAATAAACATTTAAAAAAAAAAATCTGTTTATAAATTTTTTATTTGGATTTATCTTTTCCAAATAAATAAATCAAAAAAATATCAACCATCATGGATCGATAAACTTCATTCATAAAAGAGTAATTCCATAGATTTAGGACAAAAAATCTCAGATACCTTTTAAATTTTAACCAGTACCTATCAATCAAACAAGAAAAAATGTAAAAATTGAGCTTCAAAATCCAATTGGTTCAAAAGCTCTGACATTTTGAAATTAAGCATAAAACATCCTATTTTTTATTTATTCAAATACTTTTAACTTTAACTTTACTTAAAATAGTTCAACTTTTGAAAAAAAAAATAATTTTTTAACTTTAAATAGTATTATTAACATTTTTATATATATTAAAAAGCCCTTCTCTTTTTTAAAATCCCTCTGCATTAAAGCAAACTTGCAGTACCAGTTGAAGAGCTTTGTATGCAATACAGACATAAATTAGCATCAAGTGAAGAACCAGAAGAGAACAAATTCAACCTTTGGAATTAGGGTCAGCATTTGGCAATGCCAGCCTTAAAGTGTTTGAGATTGGCAAAAAATTGCCAACCTTGTTTCTATGTTAAGACATTTGTTTCAAATTTTTTTTGCCAACCTGATGCCGATTTCTAAAAGATTGAGGTTGGCAAATTATTGCCAACCTCATTTTTCCTAATTTATGAGTAGAAGGGAAAGATTTTTTAAAGCTAAAATGTTTAAAAAA